AGCCCTGATCTTGGGCCCCAGTACAGTAAGGATTGGAATCCTCCATACCAGGTAGGGCACAGAGCCAGGCTTTCTGTTTGGAGCAGAGATTCTTTCTGCCTGTGATAAAATTATAGATGGAGGCCTTGGGATGCAGGGAACACACAGTCAATCTTACTCTCAAGGACCAAGCTTAGTTACCTTCTGACTCAGGGAATGAATTTGTGATAGCCACTATATCATCCATAATATCAAGAACCTCAGAATAATATTATATGCCCTGGTTCTAGACTGGGCACTGTGGTGAGCTGAACGGAAGCAATGGCTAAATTGTCTCAACAGCAAGAATAAGCAAGAAACAGGGCAATAAGAAGACACAAAGTTAGCCTAGGGCTTGTATTTCAAAACACACAATGAAATCTATGCTAAAAAGATAGACATCAAAACAACAACCATAACATTGCAGATTATATTTTGTATAGTAATTTTTTTTTAAGATTTTTATTTATTTATTTGACAGAGAGAGACACAGCGAGAGAGGGAACACAAGCAGGGGGAGTGGGAGAGGGAGAAGCAGGCTTCCCGCAGAGCAGGGAGCCCGATGCGGGGCTCAATCCCAGGACCCTGGGACCATGACCTGAGCTGAAGGCAGACATTTAACGACTGAGCCACCCAGGCGCCCCTTGTATAGCAATTTGATAACAAATTTACAGTATGTTGTGATGTTCAAAGAGATATATATAAGAATTCCATCCATTTAAAAGGATTAAAACATAATGAAGCAAAGATTGGCAGAAATTAAATAAAAATGAATCAAATAAACATAAATTATAATTTTTTAGAAGTGGAAAATACAATTATTTAATTTAAAATTTAGTTGGTTAGACTAGGCAAAATTCACTTACTTAGTCAAATTTAGATTCAATCAAAAAACTTCAACTGATGGGATAAATTCTGTACTGATAGCATTTAAATAATAAATTGAAAGGTATTCTTTGTGATCGCCCATTATTTAGCACAATTCTTAGATATGAAGGTGGGAGAGGCTCTAACTAAGGAGGTTAAGAGTTCAAGAAAAAGAGAATGAAGGGAATAATGGGCACACTATTTCAAGAGTTGATTATGAAAATTTCCAAGACTTGAAGAGTGACATGAATCCACAGATTGACAAAGCATTCCAAATACTTATAGGGTAATTCAAAAATAAGTCTATATCTAGATATGTGATGGTGAAATCTGAGATTACCAAGGACAAATAAAAAGCTTAGAAGGTATCAAAGGGGAAAAAAACATAATATGTACAAAGGAGTAACTGTTAGGCTCACAGAAGTTTTCTCTTCCACAATGATTGATTCAAGAAGACAATGGAGCAATAGCTTCAAAATCCTGAGAGGAAATCTTATAATTTCATATCCAGCTAAACTACATCAAGAATAAAGATAAAGGGACACCTGGGTGGCTCAGTGGGTTAAGCGTCTGCCTTTAGCTCAGGTCATGATCCCGGGGTCCTGGGATCCAGTCCCACGTCCGGCTCCCTGCTCAGTGAGGAACCTGCTTCTCCCTCTCCCTCTGCCCCTCCCCACCACTCATGCGCACTCTCTCTCTCAAATAAATAAATAAAATCTTTAAAAAAATAAAAAAATAATAAAATATAAAGAATAAAGATAAAGAACTTTTCTAGAATACAAAGCCTAGGAGAATTTAACACCTAGACTCTAACTTAAATAACTACTAAGTGATATGTTTTAACAAGGAAGGTGAATCCAGAAGGAAGGCATAGGACACACACAAAAAAAATGACAGTGGGAATGCAGTATATGACAGAAGGTGCATTACAAATTAACAGGAGAATATGGAAAATGAACCCATGAAACAGGCAAAAGAACCAAACGATTTTAAGAAAAGAAAAGCTGAATGACCAATAAACATAAGAAAAGATAATCAACCTCTTTTGTGAACAGGAAATTAAAACAGAGACAAAATTTCATATGTCTCAGAGTGGCAAAAACTAAAAAGGTTGATACGAACAAGTGTTGAATAAGAATATGGAGAAAGAGGAACTATCATACACTGCTGATGGAAATGTAAATTGACATAGAGTTAGAACACATTTTTACAATATCTCATACAATGGAAGATGTGCATACCCTGCTATCCAAGATTTAGTCCAGAAACATATCTCAAGACATTTATTGCAACTTTATTTGCAAAAGTGGATGATTGAAAACAATCTATCTAACAAAATAACAGATAAACAGTAGAGTCTGTATAATTCTAAAGTGAACACTAAAACAGTTTCTAGAGATACTTGCATCAAGATGGAGAAATCTCAAAAGCATGATAGTTGATAAAAGTATAAGCTACAAAAAAATTCATGTACTATGATACCATTAACATATTTTAAAACATGCAAAATAACATTTTGTATGGATGTTGGACACATAAATATCAAAGTAAAAAACACATCAGAAGATAACCACCAAATTCAGAGTACTAATTTATCTCTGGCCGTGGTGGGAGGCAAAGGGGGTCTGAGTGAGTTATATGAGGGAATTTCAAATATATTTTATAATGCTTAGCTTTTTGAAAAATAAAAAGACCTGAGGACAAAAAAGGAACAAACGAACAAAAGTAATAAATGATTCACATTTTCTAACAACTCTATGTTTCTATCCTGTCCTGCCTGGTTCCTAAGGGTGAAGTGTGGCTTGCAGAGAAAGGAATATTGAATTAGATCAAGATTTAACCTTGTCATCACTGAAAAACACTTGAATAATAGCAGCTCTGGTTTATAACACATCACTTAATTTCTAAAAAGAAAAATAATGAGGGAAGTCACTGGAGACACAGTAAAATATTTTTAGAGAAAGCATTTGAGTTCTACTGAAAATAGACTGAATGTGCCTCAGTAATGGCTGGGCTTAGACTTTAGAATTTACAGCTGACCCGGGTCACTTAGATTGAAGCCAAGAGAACCATAAGAAGCAAACAGGCAAGTAGGCATTTAAACAATTCTTAGTTTAGGGGCGCCTGGGTGGCTCAGTCCTTAAGCGTCTGCCTTCGGCTCAGGTCATGATCCCAGCATCCTGGGATCAAGCCCCGCGTCAGGCTCCCTGCTCAGTGGGAAGCCCGCTTCTCCCTCTCCCACTCCCCCTGCTTGTGTTCCCTCTTTCGCTGTGTCTCTCCCTGTCAAATGAATAAATAAAATCTTAAAAAAAAAAAAAATTCTTAGTTTAAATACAAGTAGCTTGCAGCAGCCAAAAAAAAAAAAAAAATCACAAAATAAAATATCTATGCTGTAATCCTCATCTATCTCTTGAATTTCAAAGTTTGACTGTGGCTTTGATGTGCAGATGTCATGCCTCAGGGCATGAAAGATTGGGTGGACCTCTCACTTCTCTTTTCAGGAGACAGAACCCTGGTGAGAATGAGATACTGGACAGCAGGAATGGAAGAGTCCCTGCTCTGTGGCTGCTTTTTGTTGTTAGCTTTCATTTTGGTTCCCTTAGATGCAGAAGCAGTAGGTGGATTTGGTAGACTCCGTGGGTTAGTAATTAGACTGGGTTGAAAGAAAGACCTTCAAATAGTTCAAAACTTTTGGGGGATTAATCAAAGAGAAATACACAAGAGTCTTGCCGGGTTGGTTGGTTGGTTGGTTGGTTTACGTGGCACAAGTGTGTTCACTTTGTAAATGTTACCTTTAAGCAAGAAGACCAAGGACAAGTCAAAGATAAAATAGAAACATTTTAGCCAGAGAATACAGCATGTAGTCTATGGGGACATGATCACAATATATGCTGTAATCTGAACGTCCTTCCTGACTTTTTCGCTAGATGTTGGCTTGGTTTTTAAGAAAATTCCAGGAAAAATCAAAGCTTTAACATGTTGCTTCAATCCTTCCTGGATCTTGTCAATCAAAAGCAAAAGCTAAACTAGGTCACGATCCTGGAGGGCAAAATGAAAAACATTTACCTACAGATTAAGACAAAGTAGGTACCTGCTACTTGTGGAATAAATTAAATCAAATTTTGGTGTCCTAGGGTATTGAAACTGAAATTTTAAAAGTGTAAAATTTAAAGTAAGGATATTGATTTCATTTAGGCTGTAGATGATGTCTGAGAATCCTCTAATGATAAAACTTTGAATCAAAATTATTTTTGTCTGTAATACAATAGTTGACTCCAAACCAAATTATTTAAAATGATTTTCTCAAATCAAATGAATGCAAGTAAAACTAATCCAACAGCTCCTTCAGAAGAGTGAGGGAGCGCAGTCATTTTTACAAGAATTTTGCTGAAGAATGGGATATGGAGGAGATACAGATGTGCATCAAATTGTAGTTTTAAAAAATGAGTATTTAAAAAGTTTTGTAATGAATTAACAACTCAAGCAAAATAGAAATAAACATTTTTTAAGCTTCTGCAGGAAAAGTGGTTTGATAAACACCATAAACTATAATTCTCACAACATAGGGTGGTTTGCAATCTTAATACAGAAAAATAACTACTAAGTTTATACAAAGAAATAAGTAATCACATAAACATTTATCCTTGGTTAGAGCCAAAATGTATTTTCTGTTACTGGTCTGTTATTAATATCAAGTTTTCTTGGCTTGGAAAAAAGAAAAATGAACTAGGAATTTGGAGATACAGACTCTGCCATGTACTTGTTAAATTACTTTTGACAAATAATTTAAAGTCTCTGAGTCATCATCATTTTTATCTGTTGAATGGCAATATTCATATTTGCTTGTCCTAGATCTCAGGGTTGTTGCAAAAGGTAAATGGAAAAATGAATATGAAAGTTCTTTGAAAGACACAAAACACCACATAAATGTACTTTGTTAATTACTGCTCTGGAGAACAGTCAACTCATGAGTATGGGGGAGTTTAATGTTTATGGGATAATAAAAGTGTGGAAAGTGTTCTGACAGGTGTAATTTTTGGTACTTCCAAATACTGATAATGGCCTTTCTCCCTTTTTATCCACTTACCCTTTGTCCATTTACTTCCCTTCTGCAGAACCCCTACCTGTAACCAGTGTTTCAATATATGACTATAAACCTTCTCCTGAAACAGGAGTCCTATTTGAAATTCATTATCCAGAAAAATATAATGTTTTCACAAGAGTAAACATAAGCTACTGGGAAGGTAAAGACTTCCGAACAATGCTGTATAAAGGTAAGAAGCAAAAGGAAGGGTGATAAATATCATCTTTAAAATACTCCTTTTTACATGATGTTTGCTAATTGGACTTCTGTCTTCTTCTAAAGAGGTCTTATGATTCTCTACCTGCCCATGGAAGAACCATTAAAAATAGTTATTAATTTATGAAAATCTTGTCATGAGGAATCTTAGAACATCTGGTTTGCTAGAGTCACATGCAATGCAAAAGCATAAGAAATACTCAAATTATTATCGTTTGTTTGTTAGTCTTGCCAAAGGCAGCATGTCTGGTACAAGAAATAAATTCAAACTTGAACTTAGAAGCACCTCACTTAACCATTTCCTTCTGGGTGTGTTAGAAGGGCATTTCTAGAACTAAGAAGTTCAAAAGGCACCTTCTACCAAGTTTCGCTTGGAGGTGGTCCAAGATTATTCTCAAATGTGAATGATAATGCTTTTTTGTTCCTTTGGATATATTTATCTGTATGACCAGTTAAATGATTGCATTAATATACAAAAATTGGTTTCATTGTTTATACTGGCCTGATGGGGACCCTGTGGGGAAAGGAGAAAAAGAGATCCTATGGGAATCAATCATTTCAAAGAACCTGGTCACCTTCTCTGAGTGGACTGTTGGGGAGAAGGTGGGGAGGGAGGAATGGAGGGAGGGTATTCAGCTCCATTGGGAGTGAACTGGGAAGGAAAGGAACTTAGATAGTCTCAGGATACAAAACTGTAACATTTCTCTCTGAGGACTTAGATGATGGTTATCAAAGTTGACTGGTTGTAACTGGAAATAGGTACTGGTGAGGTGAAGAATGGATACTGAGGCACACAGGTCATGATAGCCAGAAAAGTGTCATTTTGACTTGCTGCTTTTATAGACTCATTTCTTCCATGGATTTCTTTTTTATGAGACATGGTTTAAAGCAATGCAGTGAATTTATAGTTTTTGAAGCTTTAAAACATCAAATAAATATAAACATAGACTCCACAAATTACCGCATTTTTAAATTTTCAATGAAAACAGATTATCTGCAAACTAATAAATGGGGCCTTATTTGCTTATTGATCACATGCAAATACAAGTTCATGAATAATTGAAAAGCATTCTCTGGAATTTTTGTGGAACTAAAAGCCAGGAGTTTTTAAATAAATCAATAAATATGCTCTCCTTTTTAAGTTAATTAATTTTTAAATTTATTTTTGGCTTTTAGTTCAGTAAGTGGTACTTTTGGTTTCTTTCCCACATTTCCTTCTAATTTGAATTGGAATCTTAATTTTATTATTTTCTTTAATGTTTTTCAAATTAAATCCAAATCCTTCTTTTCTTTCTTTCTTTCTTTTTTTTTAATCAGGTGCTGCCAACTGGCAGATAAACCATTCTACTTTTAAGGCCATTTTTACAAGTAAGCCTAGTGAAACCATGTCTTATAAAATTACTTTTTCCTAAGTCATAAGGTGGCAAAATATCTTTGATTTTTATCATAAAATAAATGGTTAGCATAAACTGAATCTATAATTTCTATATGTTATCTTCTCCATTTAATACACAAAATGTTCCTATAATAAAAATTTAATTCCATTGTATCCAATTCCTGCAGAAAAAAAGCTTTTCAGGATTTTGGATATAAAGATCCAAATTTTCATCTCTAATCTTATTCTAATTTTGTATTACTGACCATGCCAGAAGTTGCAGGAAATAATATCTTAGGGCTATTTAATCATAATTGTTTAGAACTTTCTAGAAATATGTGGCATTTAGGAGATCAAAATTTTAATATAATTGTTTTTATTCTCAGATTTCTTTAAGGGAAAAACAGTATTTAATCACTGGCTGCCAGGAATATGTTATAGTAACATCACTTTTCAGCTGGTATCTGAGGCAACTTTTAATAAAAGTACTCTTGTGGAGTACAGTGGTGTCAGTCATGAACCTAAACAGCATAGAACTGGTAAGTCTTCTGAAGAATCAAATTTAGTTAAAAAATAATTAAATTATATGCTTGTTGCATGTATACATTCTATCATTCCTAGAAAAATTATGTTCTAGAGCTAAGAAATAAAATAAATATATATTTGTAATAGTCTAAAACAAATTCTCTATCAATGCAAAAGAACTGAATAAAATATTCAAAAGAAAAATCTAAAATATATCAATGTAATCATAGATTTATAATCTTTGAATGGAAAAAAAGTACGTGATACTACCAAAAGTTATAATTAAGTAACTTAACTTGACCAAGTATTCTATAACCTGGCAAAATTCCCACATGGCAGTAAAAATGATAAGAGATGTTCTAGTAAAGAATATCAGATTATTAGAGGAAAATATTGGGATTCAGATGTGTCTAAAACTTGCAGTGTTTAATTTTAGTAGTATCACCAATAGGAAGCACTGTTACAGGATGGATGGATGGATGGATAGATGGATGGATGGATGGATGGAAGAATGGATGGAAATATACACCTACCAAATGCCTGTCACCAATACCAATGTAATTGACATTGCCTGTGCCTAATGTGTCCAAATTACTCATTAGGAATGTTGGAGATACCTTTCATATGAACATTGGGAATGGATTGTTATAGATCACCCCTGAGACCCTGCCAGTCTGAATCTAAGATGTCATGATTTTCATTAAGTAGGACAAGACAAAGAAACTATTTCAGCTAAATAAGTTAGTCACGTCACGGCAACATCTAAGATTCTATTTGTATTTTTCATTATTCAATTCAAGTAAGGAAACGTTATCAATTGAGTGACTTCTACGGGGAAGTTGTGCTAAGTCTGAGAGAGATGAAGACAAAGTCTGGTGAGATAGTTTCCTGTCCTCAAAAATGGTAGAGATACAACACAAATGGCAATCATACAGGGCAGAACTGATACATGTCCTAAGAGGTACAAAAGTTATGTAACTACACAAAGGAGGGAAAGATTAATTTTTATTCAAAGTTCATGGAAGGGGTGATATTTCAGGGGCTATTTGAAGGATAGGTAGAGAAAGAGTTGCAGGGAGAGACCAGACAGCATGCCTTCATAATTTTCTACCTCTAGAAAAGTATGCTTCCCTAATTCACACATGGATTTTGTGCTCATATGTTTCATTCTGGAGAGGTGAGGAGTGAAGCAGTATTTCTAACATGTGTGCTAGTGTTTCAAAGGCATAAATGCAACTCTCTTAAGTGAAACTATATCACAGGGAGTATTTTTATCTTGATAGCTAGAGTACACTAGAGTTGCTTTTTTTGTAAGGAAGATCCAGTGGCAGAGATTCAGGTTTTTTAAAAGGAGATTTTGGGTGTTGAGGGTTCTAGAGGGGAGGGGGGTGGGGGGATGGGTTAGCCTGGTGATGGGTATTGAGGAGGGCACATTCTGCATGGAGCACTGGGTGTTATGCACAAACAATGAATCATGGAACACTTCATCTAAAATTAATGATGTAATGTATGGGGATTAACATAAGAATAAAAAAATTTAAAAAAAAGAAATAAAAGGAGATTTTGATAAGCTACAGAATATTTACAAAACTCTGCTTGGACATGGTTAAATTACCACTTGGACAAGCATCATATCACTAGTTAATGTAGTTGAAGTATGAGTGGTGATATACTCATGTATACACATCGTGCACAAAATCTTAGATAAATGTGTAACTTAACACCACAATAGTTCTTGATGTAGATTATCTTCTACTATCTTTTAGTAGAAGTAAAATTAACCTCTATTTTGTAAATCCACTTGTGTATTTGCCTTACTAATAGATTAAGTATTCACTATCATAGAACTAAAAATTACTGGAAAATGAAAATTCTCTCTCTTACAGCCCCTTATCCACCTCGAAATATCTCGGTTCGTATTGTAAACTTGAACAAAAACAACTGGGAAGAACAGAGTGGCAGTTTTCCAGAGGAATCGTTCATGAGATCACAAGATACAGTGGGAAAAGACAAACTCTTCCATTTTATGGATGAAACCCCTGAAATTCCCTCTGGCAACATTTCTTCTGGTTGGCTCGACTTCAACAGCAGTGACTACGAAACTCCATCCCAGCCCTATTGGTTGGGCGGCGCATCTGCAACTCCCGAAAGTGAAGATGACTTTGTCAGTGTCCTTCCCATGGAATATGAAAATAACAGTACACTCAGTGAGACTGAGAAATCAACAGCAGGCTCTCTCTCATTTTTTCCTGTACAAATGATCCTGAATTGGTTACCACCCAAACCACCCACTGCCTTCGATGGGTTCCATATCCACATAGAAAGAGAAGGTAAAGTAACAGGAAATCAGCGAAAATAAGAAATGATGCACAAAGGAAAGGGCACTGACATATGTTGCAACTAAAATATTTAGGAAAAAAGGCTGATGGGAGACAGTTAATATTTAAAGACAAAATGGTCAAGAAAGGGAAGAATTTAATTGAGTAGCAACGCCCACTCTAAGACTAGAAAACAAAATTAAATAGGTAGGATCAGAATCCAGGGTTTAGGTAGTTTCTAAGTTGCGGGTCTTCACAACTTGCTCGTATTTCACTGCCCAACATGTCACGTACTCCGGGCCGCTGAGGAAAACCTTCCGTTTGGAAAGATTTTGAATTAAAGTTCTAAGCATCACAAATTACAAAATATCCTGGAGAAATTTTCTGTTTTCTAGTACACAGTTTGTGAAGCATGTAGCAAAACAATCTTTCTGACAAGAAGGCTACCTTCCCAAGAGCGTTAGCCCTGGGGCTTGCTCATCTAGCGACTCTGATTTCTCAGGGTGTGCCCCTCAGGGACCAGCACCACTCCACATTTGCCTGAAGAAGAGCGGGTCGTAAAATAGAAAATGCACAGCAACTAGTATTTTCGCCATAGCATGGATCATAGTCATTGATCCAGCATTCTAGAGCTTTCTTTGTATTTTAGTCCACTAGCTTATGAAAAACAGGGCCCTGGCCAGCAGTCAATGTGGGTCATGAATCATGTTTAAATTGTTTGCTAGGTTATTATCGTTATTTGCTGTTTGTTTTGTTTCTATAATAACACACTTCATTTTATACTTTCCAGTCTAGTGGTTTGAGTGGTAAAAGTTGTCAAGTTGTTAGAATTTGAAGTTTCAAATAATAGCTTTATTTTCAGGGTAGGGCATTAATATCATGTAGTATCATACAGTGCATACTGTTGTTTGCCCTTATTTTATTTTATAGACTAAGACACCAAAATCTGTGGATTCCTCTATCCTGGATTATAGAGCAATCAACCATACCCAAATATTGTGTAAAATTGAAATCCTTTGTCATTTCCAATTATTTGACTCAAAAGTCTTCACGTTTACCTAGAATTACTTGTATAAAAGATATCTTTCTTCATCTGCCCTTAATTTGTCTTTCATTTTCCTGTCCCACAGTATATTCTGTGGAAAATAGGGTCTTGTATCTCACAATTGTTTTTTTTAATGGGTATTTCCATGAATGTTCAATCATGCTTTCATCTGACTGCTGTGTGTTCTGTTGAAGGCTATCGTAGTCACCAACTGATGAGAACAACTTCAAATGGAGTAATAAGCAGCAGGAGATGGACTTTGAAGCAATGCAAAATCATTTTTACTTTTAGAAAGTAAAATCTGGAAGAAGACAGATCAAGGACAAGTATTACAAGTGTCAGAAAATCTGCCCAGGAGAATTATTTCCAACTAGAAATAATTCAGTTGATTTTAAGGCATTTCTGGGTATTTAATACTAACCACAAAGAACTGATAAGATAGTGATTGCTGGTTATTTTTTTAATCTTTATATCCAGATAAGAAAGTCAACTGTTGCAATCTTATCCCGACATTCTACTTCTATTCTGTGCATATGACATTGTTGGGTAATAGTACATAAGAATATGCAGTATATACTCATCCCTAAGCTTTATTGGTTTGGATGCCATATTTTAGTTTGGTAAATTAGAAGTGTTGTGAAAAGCAATTTGAATACTTGGTCATGTTTCTTTTCTAGTACCTTTGATGAAGATGTATAATTGAACTTGACAAAAGAAAGGAAACGTATAAAAAATACTTATTTTTTGTATTAATTGACTTGTCTACATTCAGGGCCCTTCCAGGTTTCAATTCATATATATTCTCTTTTTTATATATGATTCAGAAAACTTTACTGAATATTTGACAGTGGATGAAGAAGCACATGAATTTGTTGCAGAATTGAAGGAGCCTGGGAAATATAAGTTATCTGTGACAACCTTTAGTTCCTCAGGATCTTGTGAAACTCGAAAAAGTCAGTCAGCAAAATCACTCAGTTTTTATATCAGTAAGTACCAAAGAGATTATTTTGCACTTACAGGGGAGCTAGGACAATGGAACTGGGGAGATTAATGATGCTCAGGCATCAATTATTCATCAAACCTCAGAGACCCTGAGAAATCGTCAAGGTCAGAAGAGGCTCGGTTCCATGAGATTTTGACAGCAGAGGAAATATATGTATGTTTAATAGTAGCAAACCTACCCAGAGATTTAGCTTATGGGTTTTTTTATTATTGGGATAATTGAACATTTATTAAGCTGACTTTCCACACTAACCATAACAAACCCTCCAAGGACACAGACACACGGTTTAGGACATATGACTTTTGTTTGAGGCCATACAGAAAATTGGTATTGTTGGACTGGGATAGAAGTCTCATTAGAATATTGAGCTGAGAGAGCTCAAAAGAAAACCAGAGATTTAAGTGGCGTAGGACCTAGGTGGTCACCATAAATTTGGCCCAAGAAGACAAAGCTAGAGCATTCTAAAAGCCCCAGTGTCAAGTCTTCTGGTAGTTTCTACTGATTCCATGAGGAGTAATGACGGAGCAAATAATTAGTCTCTAGAAGCTGCATGAATGGTGTATGTCTGTAATGTTTTTAGCTAATCTGAATGTGCTCACCAGAGGTTTCAAGGCCAAAAATCAGTTACCTGGTTTATCAGCAGTTACATGTGCCTCCCATCAGCAGAAAGAAAAAACCAGATGGCAATGGATAAAAATGGCTCTTCAGAAAAGATGACCACCACACACTTTATCACCTTCTCCAAAGGCAAAATACCTCCTTTCCCCAAATAAGCCTCAAAAGGGTGGATGGGAGAATGAGAAGGGGGGCAGAGGGAAGAGATCCATTTATTTAACAGCTGAAAAATGTTGAAAATGCCCCATGTAGCATTTCTACTTAAGAAATCAAAAATGTTGCCGCTGATAAGAGGCCTAAAGATCCATGAGATATACAGAAAGAATAGTCATAATTTTGCTTGCCTGGTTTTCAGTTATGGAAGATCTCTGACATGAGGTCACTTGAGAATGAAGTTTAGTATTCAGTTCTTCCGTGAAGCTTAAAATGTTTCATTAACTAGAAGGTTTCCCTGTCTGTCAGTAGAGATCACTCCAAGTGTCAACAGCTTCCGGGAAATCTCCCTCAGCTATTCTGGCCAAACTGGTCCTTCCCTTCTCTGAATTTCTGCTGTGTTTCATAGTGCACAACACAAAATACAGAGCTTATTTGTGTATAATATTTTTCTAGATTTGTTTTATTTGTGTACATCTTACTGCTCATACCAAATTATAAAATCCTAGCCTGGGGTTATACTATTTATTTATTAATTCTGTTGTACATTCGACAAATATTCACTGAACAACTTTCATGTGTCCAGCGCTCTGCTCTAGAGTATCCAAATTGACTAGCGCTGTTGAGAATGTGTCAGAATTGCTCAAAAATATGATTATTTCAAAGAGATGCATCTCAATATTCATCTAGAAAATACAGGGCACTAAAAATTCTGGTTTTTTCTCTGCCAATAAAAGAATACTATTTTTAGTGCTTAGGATATTCCGCTCTGCAGTAATGAGTTATTCAGGCGTACTGTATATACACCTTTAGTTTAAAACAGGAAACTATAGATATAAATACTATACTGGAACTGAGTAAGCCCCCTCAACACAGTACAGACTCATACCAGCTAAACGATATTCACAGCCCGTTTTCCTGACCAAACTGTTCCGGTGTTAAGCTAGGACATTAATATTTATTAAATTCCATTAAGATTTATATTTCTCGTATTGCATTATGATTTTTATTTCTGTGGTTTTGAAGGCTTTCCTCAGAGATGAGAGGAAAGGTAGACATTTACATTCATCCCCAACAGCCTCACATTTCAGTGATCCCCATGTTTCAGGTGGAAAAAAAAAACTGAGGCACAGAAAGTTTAGTAACTTTCCCAAGTGTCTGAATGAGGACTAGAACCTAGGAATATTTGATAGCAAAGTCCATTTCCACGTAGCGTGCAGTGACCCTTTACCTTGGCTTGACCATCAGGTCAGCCCTAATGTAAAACCATTGAACAAGTGAATTTGTTTTACTTCCTCTCACTTTGGCTCTCTGTGCCCCTGCTACCTCAGTAATCTTCCTAACGGCGATGAAAACACTTCACAGTTACAGAGTTCTCTAACATCTATGATCTCATTTGATCCCAGTGACAGATGGCATCATGATAAATTGTCACAAAGCACTGAGCCAGGAGGCCGGAGGCCTGGGTTGGGCCCCAAGCACTTACTAGCTGTGTGACATTGGAAGGTCATACACATCTCTGGGCCTCAGTTTTCTCATCAGTTAAATGAGGTATTGGATCTCTCAAGTTTTCAATTCTAACATTCTATGGTGTAATCCATTTGGCCGGTGCATTGCCAGAGATTCAGAGGAGTTAAACCGTTCGCCCAACTTTGTGTCACTAATAATGAGCAAAGCCGAGTTTTGGTCAACTTTCCTATCTCCAAACCAGCGCTTTTCACAGTTCCTAGTGCCCCCAGCGGTTTCCTGCAGGGGTTAAGAGCGTGGATTCTGGAACCAGCCTTCCTGTGGGTGAATCTACTTATCCTGTAGAGGCCTCAGCGCCCTCATCTGAAAGTGGGATTAATACTTGTACTTATCTCATACGTCTGTTATGAAAATTAAAGGATTAACATATGTAAACATATACAAGCCTAAAGCAGAGCCTACAACCTGCCAACCTGCCGAATGCTCTATCTCTTTGCCATCATTATTATTGTCATTTTTTATTGTCATTATCTCCCTGGCCCCATTGGCTGTGAGCCTGAGACTGCTCTCCCCAGGAGATCCGCTTGCTTCTTTCCCCCTCCTGGGTTCCAGCCCAGGAATACAGCTCCCTATTAAGACACTGAGAAGTGTATCCTAAGCAAATAAAGGAACGTTGCACATGTGCGTTTCAACAAGGAACTTCTGTAGATAATAACCACCTCAACGCTTCTTGAGTCCTTACTATGTGTCAGGCACAGTGCTAATAACCACTTCAGAAACTTAAGAAAACAAAGCAAATGGTGGGCACTTCTGACGAGATACTTTATAATGAGGAACCGACCGCGTCCCTCAAATTATCACCCAGATCTCAGGCAGCTTCTGTAATTGAGCCAGCCTGTTGCCTATTTCTTCTCTCAATATAGTCGCACTCCGCCTCTTTGATCCCGCTGCTACCAAATTTAAAATCTTTTCGTATGATGGCAGTCAAGGCTAATTTGAATCTCAAAGTCATTGTTTCTAGAGACCAAAGATCCTAACAGCAAAGGAATTCTAAACACGCTGAAATGCCCCCACTTCCACGCCCGCTCTGCGTTAAAAGAGAAGTAGATTCTCTCTGGAGAAGAATCTACTGGAATAAACTCAGAGGCAGGGGACAGAGAGCCGTGCCAGTCCACCTGCCCATCTTAACCTTGACTGTCTGTGTAAAGGCGAAAGGAAAACATCATGATTTTTTAAAACTCGACTCTTTTATCTCCACCAGCTCAGCATGAAACCTCCCTTGTGCTCTTATTTGACATGTTTAGGCCCTTCAGGAGAGTGGATGGAAGAACTGACTGAGAAGCCCCAGCATGTGAGTGTCCACGTTCTAAGCTCAACCACTGCGTTGATGTCCTGGACATCTTCCCAGGAGAACTACAATGGCACCATCGTGTCTGTGGTGTCGCTCACCTGCCAGAAACAGAAGGAGAGCCAGAGGCTAGAAAAGCAGTACTGCACTCAGGTAAAGGAACAGGAAAAAATGCTGATGGGCTTGCTCACTCAAGTCCTGCAGGAGGCCATTGCAAGAGGCTGCCCTGGGGTCTCCCCCGGCGGGGGGGGGGGGGTTGTGGTTTGTGAGGAGGAAATGAGTGTGCCTGGTTCTTCAGTTACACTCTTCCTCCCTCCCCCTCTGAGCACTAGCATCTTCCTTTTATTTTCACACCTCATTCAAGACACCTGTGATGTGCCAGGAATTCAGATAGGACAGATGTTGGGATTCGAGATAATTGCTACGTATCTGCCTCTTGCAGAGTTTATAATCTAGGGAGAACAACGCATAAGTGAGCATATAATTACCGCAGAGTATAAAATCAGGCCGAGGCTAAAAGTAAATGATCGAGAGGCCCTATGAGTTCATGGGAAGAAAGAGCTGAGCATGAGTAAATATGGACTGGGGCAAGAGGATTTGGAAACTGGCCAGAAAAACTTTTCCCAGAGGAGATGAGCAAGCAGAAGGTTCTGGGGGAATTTGTGTTTGTTTGTTTGTTTGTTTGTTTGTTTTACTTTTTCTATTCTTTTTTTGTTGCTTGAACTATAAAAGTAATTCATGCTCACTGAAAAAATAATTAAAAATTAAAAGTACTAAAGTAAAAAACTCCCCGTTCACTAATCACAATTGAGAAGAGCTTTGAAGGATAAATAGAAGTTAGCTGGGCTCCAAGGGGGCATAAAGGGGCACTCGGAAATGGGGTGCAAATCAGTAGTTCTGGGAATGGTTACCAGAATGAGCTCATGCACCCAGCCATCAGTCCTGAGTGAATGCCTGCCACATGGGCCCCAGGGCAGACTGTGCTTTCCATCGCCCTGAATATCCACAGGGAGCCTGGAGCCCAGCACTATTTTCCTAAAACCTGGTTTTATTTTTTCATAGGATCGAATGTACTGATTCCTGGTGTCTTGCAAACACAAATTTCCTTCCCTAAAGGCAAAAAATTACATTATCAACTCATGTGTCATACACTGGAAATATAATACTCAAGAACAATGTTTACTATATGAAAGCTTTTTGGAATGGTTCCATTTATCCCACAAAAATTAGGCATTTAGGGAAGTTCAAAGAGTGAGAAACTTTAAAGTTGATAAGAGGAATTCAGGTATCATGGCCTTTGGAGTGCTAGAAAGGCTTAAGAGTGTTGAGATAAGCCCTTACTTGCAGATGAGGCTACCCCTTGACTTAAAGTAAGGAGTACATAGGCTAAACCGATTAATGTAATCACAACTCACTGTGCAGCTTAGAAGTTTCCCTTCCTGAGCATAGGAAAGACAGCTGACTCGTTATATTGGTAGAAAAATGTGTTTCTCTTACAGAACATGACACAGAACTTGACTGCTCCAAGGCACATTTCATCACCCCTCATCTAATGTACAAATTATGTATCTTTTGCATAGAAGCCAAAGGCTAACAGTACAGATAAAAACTGTAAATTATAAATGAGCCAGAAAAGGCTGGGCTCAGTGCACTTTGACAATGCTTTCTTGAAATGCAAACATGAAATTGTTAAAGGTTATAGGCAAAGAGGCCAATATTTAAAGTGGAGGGCAGGATCTAGACCACTGTGTGAGGTGTTATCTCAATTACAAGACCATTTTGAAGATTTGTTCTTATACCAACATTATCCATTGCCCCACTACACACACACACACACACACACACAGATGCACGCACACATTTTTAGATGAGGAAACATCAGTTTAAAAAGTCTGAAAAGCAGTGGTGCCTGGGTGGCGTAGTCAGTGAAGTTTCTGACTCATGGTTTGGGTTCAGATCATGATCTCAGGGCTGTGAGATGGAGCCCCTCATCAGGCTCCTTGCTCAGTGCAGAGTCAGCTCGGGATTCTCTCTATCCCTCTCTCTCTTCCCCCCACCCTCAAATAAATAAGTAGATCTTTAAAAAAAAAAAAAAGAAGCCTCAAAAACTGGCCTGTAATCATGTGGCCATTAATCAAAAGAATCCGGAAGATATTATCACCAGTATCAGTCTGATTTGGGCTTATTTCCCAAAGCAACCATTATCCAAAAAGAAAAAGTAATAATATTTCTTTAATTCTGTATTCGGTGGTACTGGATTGAATTAATATTCAAGATGCAGCTCAAAAATAAGAGTGATTCTAAAGCTAAACACATACAGTAGTGCCCTCCCCCATTCATGGTTTCACTTTCCACGGATTCAGTTTCCCATGGTCACCCGTGGGCCAGAAGCAGATGATCCTCCTCCAACATGTGGGCAGCCGGTCAATAATAGCCTAACAATAGGTCACAGCGCCTACGTCATTCACCTCACTTCATCTCATCACATAGGTATTTTATCATCTGACATCATCACAAGAAGGGTGAGTGTAGTACAATAAGGTATTTTGAGAGAGGCCATGTTCACATAACTTTTATTACAGTATAGGGTTGTAATTGTTTTCATTACTGGTTATTGTTAGTCTCTTACTCTGTCTAATTTATAAATTAAACTTTACAGTAGGTATGTATGTATAGGGAAAAAACATAGTCCGCATAGGGTTCGGTACTACCCATGGATTCAGGCATCCACTGGGGGTCTTAGAACATATCCCTTGCAGATAAGCGGGGACTATGGTATTAACGGTTAATATAATGTTCCACCATTTTATACTTACACTCTCCCTACTTTGCCTCTACCACTGACTATACCAAAGGATCCTTGCTTTATGTATCACCTAGATCATCTATGAGACCCAATGCTAGTGCCACTACTCTTTCTGACACGACCACTGATTTCTGTGCCACATCTTAGAAATAAAACAAAATTTGACTTGAACCTTGAGTTCACAGTGCTTAGAGTCTAGCCTTCCATGTAGGTACATCGTACCCACTAATGTGAATTTGTCCTCATCGTGTGTGTCCTCTTCATGTCTGGTTGTTGTTTCGTGTGTGAGTTTGCATGCAAATGTTTGTAGAAAAGGGTGTTTTGTGTTGTACGCCTCCTAACAACCATCTCAGTGCTATTCGTTAATAAATATATATTGAGGGGCGCCTGGGTGGCTCAGTTGGTTGGGCGACTGCCTTCGG